CATTCAACCAAATTTCAGAGCCACGGCAGAGATTGTCTGGATCTTCTATCGAATCTCCGAACAGATAGTTAGGCTTCTTCAACGGTTCGATAGAATCTCTAGTTGGAGTTAAGGGTGAGTCGGTCAGCAGAGCACGCAGAGTACGACGGCCTCCCTCGCGAATCAACTCCGGAACATTATTATCACAATCTTCACTAAATTGGCGGGCCTCTCTAACCAGAAAGTCGCCGCGAAAGGAGGCGTGAAGAGTACCACTCTGGCCTGGGTCCTCTCTATCAGAGAAGGCCACAGAGGGAAAGGGGACTACAAAGAAAAGTTGGAAAACAGTTGTGTAAGAAAAAGGCTAACGGACAAGTAAACCCACACTAAGTAGCCGCGGTGGTTGTTGCCGTCGCGCATTACCGCGGCAGCCTATACTGTCGCGCTCAGGCGCGACAGCACGAGCTGCCGCGGTAACTGAACGACAGTCGTCGATGTTGAAAAGCCTCTAGTTCGATAAAAAATCGAATTTTGGCAGGAGTACATATCTTGATTGAACAAGATATGTATTTTGAAGCATCAATCCCCTCGAGGGGGGATGTCAACTCTTCCCGAATGCCTCTCAATGGAGACAAACGAGGCTATATGCGCAGAATCAGTAATTTCATATAAAGGGAAGTTGAAGAAACTTACCCCCAAGAGAAGGAATGGCAGCCTCGACCTCCTCAGGTGCTGATGTCGCTGATTTCCCCTTCGAAGCGCGAGTCTTCTTTGGAGACATAGTGAAATCGACCTAAAGAATCAAAAATCAGTTTTTTTTTTGTGAGATCCCAAACAAAAGAGCGAAATCAAACCCTAAAACATGACATAGGGGTACGGTTCTTACCAGGGGAGAATAGAATCAAGTTTGATTAGAGGGAAAACTTGAGATCAAGGAAAAAAAAACCCTAGATCTTGTTCAAAGAGGAATCGCCCAAATGCTAAGAGATGAAGAGGGGGAAAGCCAGGAAAATCCCTTTATAGGGTTTTGAAGAGGTTTCGAACTCAGAGAGGCGGGGAAAAGTGACCCGAAGAAGCCCAACATCAGATTTATAATCTGACTGGCCGAAGCGCTGCGCGGCACTCGACACTGTCGCGCTCGAGCGCGACAGTCTATGTTGCCGCGCTCAAGCGCGACAGTATAAGCTGCCGCGGCAGCTAACATACCATGGTTCATTCTGGAACCTCCCAATGGGTATATGAGGTTAAACTGTTTCCCGAACACTCCAATAGAGCATATGAGTATAAACTATTTCTCCATTTTTCAACAATAGTTCTGATTCAAGACTTCGACAACGGCCACGCGATAAACGCAGTACCGGAGGAATTTTAGCTATTCTACAAAGCACTGAGTAGACTAAAAGATAAAGAAGTCAAGGATTGAAGCCATTCACAGATCATTCTACGCAACTTCTTCAACAAAGCACTGGAGAAATTGCAAGGAAAGCTTATCATATCCAAAGTGTCCCAGACTCCTCTCTAAAAAAATGATGAGTCTGAGATACTTTGGAGGGGGTATCTGCAGGCGTCGAAAAATGCTTGCAGGCATCCAAATACCACTCAAAACAATATGGGAGAACAATTTACACGTCATCAGGCAACACAAGGTGGCGCGGCAGCCCATGGCGTCGCGGCTAAGGCGCGACAGCACATAGTGCCGCGGCTTAGGCGCTGCAACCTAGGGTGCCGCGGCTATGTTAAAGGAGTGCTGTGGCGGTTACAAGGCAGTTATATGATGATTTTTTGAGGCCTACGTGGCAGCATATCAGAAATAGAACGTGTGCTGACGTGGACAAGCAGTTAAAACACGAAAAAAAGTGGTTAAAATTCGTGGGAGAGCGGTTTCAAGCACGATGGAATGTGCTGGTAACCGCCTTTTTGGCCGCGGCAGCCTATACTGCCGCGCCAATAGGCGCGACAGTGTAGACTGCAGCGGCCAAAGAGAAAATACTTGGTCGGTTATTTCGCCCCCGTTTCAACTGTGGTGCACTGAGACCCCTATAAATACCTCCCTAAACACGA